AAATGACTCGTGCAAATTATCACAAAAGATGCATTTTCGGTTAACTGCAGTATGAAATGCAGCCGTGGGTGTATTTTTTTACATATTTTCTAGTTTCATATTTTGATTGATCGACTCGCGGAGGCACAGGATTTTTCCTTTCGCTTAATACTAGATTTGAAACTTCCCTGCATTCTATTTCCGTTTTAATAAATTGTGTTAATTCCGAAACTTCAACTTTATCTTTCGATCCTCTTTGCCGATTAAATTCCAAAACTAAATCGTCCGGAATTAATTTTAATAATATTGGAATTAATAAATGTCCATATGAGCCAGAAGTTACTTCTAAAGTTTCCAAATTACGAATCGAAACTTCTAATTCGTCATATAATTTACGTAAAGCCTTTACGTTAGCAGAATTTTTAACAGCTTCTAAATTGAGAATTTTATTCATGAATGAATTAATGATCAGGTCTTTTCGACCATATCTGTCCTTTAGTAATGCTACACAACTATCATAATTACTTTCTGTTAACTCAAAGCCTGACACAACATTCGAAGCTTGTCCCGTTAAGAATGTTTTTAAGTATACAAATTTTTGTATTTTTGAAAGCGTTTCGTTTTTATGTATCGAATTTTCGAAACTATTCCAAAATTCATTCCATTGTTTGGGGTCTCCCCAAAATTTATCAATCATTAATTTTGGTAATTTCAGCGTACTACTCCCACTAGAACTGGAACTTACATGCAAAATTCCATTACCACTAGACTGGTTTAAATCAGAACTTTGGGGATTCCTCGCTGGCGGTACTGCGGTAACCGCACCTAGAAACTGCTTAATTTGACTACAAGCAATTATACATTTGTCATTGTATTCTTCGCTTATACTACAATCTTCTTCAATTAAGTTAACATCAATTAACTCTTACTCTGTATTTCATCATCAAGCGTTCTTCAAATTATTTTTCTTTTCGGTTAATAATTCAAACAATTCTCGTAATTCTTTAATCGAATTTCCTCCTCTCCTTCAATTTTTAATTTATCTTCAATCACTTTAATTAACCTAGTAACAGACGATCTCAATGTGGAACGTTTTACGTTTCAATCTATCTAACTTCTCTTCCATTTTATTTAATTTAAATACACCCACGACAGCAATAATAAATACTTACTAATGTACTACAAATAATCACTAAATAATTAATTTAAGATTTCCCTACCTTTATTTGGAATTCCATTGTCACTTGAATATGAAATATCCATTGAAATCGAAACACTTGGATCGAACACCTAAAATCTTCACAAAGCCTTAATTCCTTACGCCGATGCACCATATATAATTTTGTGCATCTCCAAATCAGATGATGGTGGTTCAGCGGGTTTACTAATTTTAACACTTTTACATTTTAAACAATATTTTAATTACTATATACAGAGCGTATTCTTAGGCCGCCGCCTTCAACATGAACAAACTTTATTCTCTTACAACTAAGCGAGCAACAGCGCCCTCTAGCCTTTTTCTTCAAATTACACAACAGATGTTTAGGTTAGGTTAATTTTATTATGGCAAAGCACTCGGGATGCCTTCGTGGAGGATCTTAATAAGCGAAACTGGCTTTTATACGCTTTACACATGGGAAAAATCACGAAAAAGCTCATGCAGCCAGCCTGTTCGCGAGATTTGAACTTCTGAGCGAATTATCTCTGTTCAGCGACTTTACCGCTCAGCCGCTGGTGGGCTACCAGTATTTAGAAGTGTTTTTAATCAGTCAGCCACTAGTAAGGCCTAATATCGGTAGGAAGGCCATTAACTGAAAAAAAAAAAGAAAGAAAGCGAAACGTGCCTTAGAACGTAGAAAACAATTTGCCATCATTCAATTAAAACAAAGGGTTTTGATTATAGAAGTTGAGTCAAATCATAGTCCGTATTGGTGATACTTTGGTAGACGGTTGTACGGATTTTAGCGAGCGATACGACTTATGGTAAACCCATTGCTGGACAAGTTATTTATGGTAACCGATATTTTGTTATCATTTTATTTAAAAAATAATGCGTTTTATTATGCATAAATTCCATGTTTTAAATATTATTTATGGCTTCTAAATATTAAAAGTCACTTTAATTTTGCATTTTTATTTGAAATAAAAATTTTATTGTTTATGATATTTTGTACATGTTGTAGATGATGTAATCAATGACGTCACCTTGCTTTAAAAGTAATTGGTTTTAATATCTATAAATTTGATCTAATGTTTTAAACATTATTTATGGCTGTTGAATATTAAAATACAATTTCATTTGCATTTTTTTAAAATGATTTTATTATGTATGATAATTTAAATAATTTTAATTCTAGGCGGGGTGTAATCAGCTCCCTGATTCGTTACAGAATATTTGTGCATTAACGAGCTATAATCAGCTCCCTGATTGGTTACTGAATATTTGTGCATTACCGCGCCATTTTAAAATTTTACTATCCATCTCTTCGAATTCCTTAGATTTCATAGGATCCCTTTCAAAGATTAATGTTGTTATTGGTAAGTACCAAAAATTATTGGTATCGGAATAAAAAAATTGTCCTTTGGGACCTTATTTTGGCCAACCAGGCTTTCTTATCAAAAATTTATTTATAAATTGCTACAAGGGTCAGAGAAAATTTATTTAAAATTTTTGGAGGAAACCTCGCTAATTGCTTCTTCAATGAAGTGCGAGAAATGTGGATCATATATGAAGTTCGTTGAAGACGGCCGTATATGGTACTGCGGTCACGATGGAAGAAATAACCGCCGTAATTGTAAAAAAAGTATTAGACCTTCCTTCTTTTTTACCGGCAGTAAACTTCTAATTGCTGTAATTTTAGCTCTAGTGTACGAAGCGTTCTTATTTACTTATTTTAATGTATTTGAATTTAGGTAATATTTTAATTCTTTTAAACGTTGGTATGATGGTTTTTAATTCCATATTCAGTTAAGTAATATTTTAATCTAATTAAACATTGGCGCAATGTTTTTATAGCGGTGTTTTTATTCTTTTTGTTTGCTATATGAAAGTAATAATTCAACCTTACTTAAGTATTTTATACGCGTTATAAATCTATTTATTTACATTTGCCTGCCATCTTAAAGAAACACGTTTTTAACAAAAAATTAATCCATTATTTTTAACGATATTTATTTTTTAAAGTTTCGAATACTTTACTATGCGTAAAATATGTAAAAACAGCGTTTTTCAAGATGGCTGACAGTTGTAAAATCCGCGCCAACAATTGCGCCAAAGTAAATCGCCAAACATCCGTGCAAGCGTCTACCAAAATAGCACCTCCGTATTTTTTTTACGTCATTAAATGTTGCAATTTACTTCTCTTCCTCTGTCCCACTGGGCACTGCCATCGTGTTATACGGGCTTCACTCACGCAAGCCAGACTTCTTACTTATTTAAAGTTTGAGAATGGGTTGAAGTCGTTTCGGCTCCACGGCCTATAATCATTCGCTTTACCGGATGAGACAGAATCTCGAGAAACAGTTATCCTGAAGGAAACTTCGAAGGGATTTAGCTACTAGATGATACGATAAGGCTTCATCCTGCCCGGGCATATTCAAAACCTATGACAAACTAAAGTTCCCTTTTTCTCTTTAACATTGATTAAGGTTAACGTACAGTTGTCTAAAATCCAAACCAACTTAATCCTTTATTTATCGACTTTTTCTATCACTTGACAATTTTTAAAATCTATTCTGACCTTATTTGATAAGTTTTAGTTTGAAACAAATTTATTCTATGATACTTTGATAATATTAACCGAATACTTGATCATAGTAAGCGATGCATTTTCCATATTTTGCTCTACAAATGGGAGGAATTTTGGTAATTCGATAAAATTATCTGAATGGTAATATTAATCGCGATCACATTTAAGTGGAGTCAGTTCAGTCTCTTAGAAATTTTAATTTCACGACCACATGCAAATCACTTTGGGAATATGTCAAAAAGTTCTTTTACCTTTTCTGTTGCCTTTTGATTTTCTTCACTTTTGATGAGCTGAGTCTCCTACTGATTCAGTAGCATTTTAATGCCCAACAATTTTGAATGGTTAGATTCTCTGAATTGGTCGTAATAATAACATATCCGATGCTATCTTGACATCGGATTGATGACATCGGATGCACAGTTAACTTTACCTAACTTCGTGCTCTGCGATGGGCGTTATTAGAGAGATAGATCTTTCACCAAGTCTAGAGATCAGATACTCCAACTTCTTTATTCAGGAACACATTATAAATTAAGGGAACTGGGTTCTCGAATTTTCAGAAATGTTAGTTAGAAGTCGAGAATTCATTATCACTTCACAGTCACAGAGAACTGTTTGTAATTTTTCGAAAACAAGCAATATTTTCTCGAGAGCTTTACTTAGCAGTTGTTTAAGAACAACTATTACTTTATCCCACTGACAGGATTTTGGCAAGAGTTTGCTTTATATCTCATGTTTGTTTACATCTTATGAATGCATTTTCCATGTTTACTATGCAAATGGGACAGATTTTAACAATTCGATAAAAATATTTGAATGATAACATTAATTATTATTACATTAAGCGGAGTCTTTCGGAAATTTCAATTTCACGACAACATGCAATTTATATCGCATGCAATTATAGCTTTCTGAAAATATCACACAGTTCTTTTACATTTTCAGGCGAATGTTCTCAAACATTAAAAACAAAGATAGGCACATTAGAAGAAAATTCCATCTTAGCATTCACAGTTACACGGATAGCACTAAAATAGTTACATTTAAAGGGTAACACTTGGTTGATTTTTGGATGTTCCAAACTTAATGCAATGTTTCGCGAAAAGGATAAAGAGAATCAGCATTTTGAATTAAACCTTACATCAAAAATGTCCTTTGAAGATAATTTTGATCAGTGATAACAACAGAAAAGGTAGCAGTTATATTGTAAATGTTTTGATCAATATATTTCGAAAACTTAATTACTTTGAAGAGCTTCGTTTTACTTTTTAGCAACCTTAGGCGAAGATATCCAAAAGGTATACCTCACATGGCAAAATCTCGAATTTTTACACAGAAAGAACTTCAATTTTTACATGACCAGTATGTTAGACGGGCCTTCTAAGTACCTTTATGAGTCACTTATGCAAGCCTTTGAAATATGGGATGATATACAAAACCAATATGGAGCACCTGGTTGGAATGTTAAAGATTCATCACTAAATTCAGTAATGAAAAGTATGGATGAGGAACTTTCAAACTTGCTTTACGCCATGGAATTGGTGTGGAAAATGCGTATCAAAGACATTTTAACATTGCGAAAGAATGAAATGGACGCAAATGTTGAAAATATTAAAATAACCCGAGCTTCGGATCTCAACTCTGCCCTTGAAAAAGGAGAGAATAGGAGGGGTATGCTTGAAAAATGTCCGGCATGGATACAAGAGCAAAGTGAAAGTGGAGAGGTAATTACAGATTGCTCACAAATGAACGCTAAAATGCAAGACATACTGTGCTCATGTAAAGAAGAGCATCTGGAGAGCAATTGCGAGTCTCAGCTAAGGATTTCTAACCCTAAATTGAGACAGGTAAATTTGATATTCAATTTCTCACCGTGAAAGCCTTTAATAGCAAAACATTTGCATAAAAAAGCGCGATTAAATAAACAAAAGATTTAGAAAATAGAAATTAAAAATAATACATAAATAAAACACAAGAGTTTGTATTTACATTTTAACTGATCGAAAATGATTTTCTGATGTTTAGAAACTAAGAATGTAACTAAGCGTCATATATGTTTATTCTTATTGACAAACAGAGTTAACAGACGAATCGCGTTTTTTTCTAAAACGCTTAAAGCGATTTTTTAAAAGGAAAAGTTATGTTACGAAGTTCCATAGGTAAAAATTTAAATTAATAAAAACAAGAAATGCTTATTTGTATTGGAGAGACGAAGCTCCTGAAGACACTGCGTTAAGAAACTCGAATTTTAAATAATTCAGGAAAATTACACGATGCATTTAACTGCCTGTTTTCCCAATATTACCGCTTCGTTCTCTTTCGATAATATAATTCTGAGCTTTTTCTTACATTTGTGGGCGATACAGTTAGAAAAGAATTTTATTATCGCTAGAAGACAGTTATGTTTGTTATTACTTACCATTGTAAGAGAAGTACCTTACAGAGGATGTGCGAAAAATTCCTTTTCACTGCAATAATATAGAAGGAATCGAAGGCTATAATAATACATTCAATAATTCATATATCTTCAGAAAAGAAAGGATGCGCTTTGCTTATCTGCTAAGTTTTTTTTTCAAATTTTTTTTATGAGAATAGCACCAATTACTCTTCTGTATTCGAGAATATCATTATCTGAAACGATGTCGATAATCACCCGTGACTTCTTGTTTTCTTCATCAACTGGATAAAAAAGTTGATGAAGAAACTTGAGGAAACTAGAGAATTAGAGGGAGGATCTTGTATGGGAAAGATGGCCCATTCTGCATGAAGTTCTTGTTGAAAAGTGACTTTTGCTGCAGTTGACAGAGCTTCTTGTTTCCAGAATTATGTCATAAGGGCTCGAGTCAGTATTAAATGAATTGTACTAAATTTCGTTGTCTGCGGTGTGATAGGTGCGCCATCAATTTTGCAGAGGTACCTCAATAAAGGCCGCATGAGTTGAAGAAAGAAGATGGATAGAAGCATGCAAATGGTATTTAGTATTATTATCTTATGACAATGTCGATTATTAAAATTCGTAATTATTGATTATTAAAATCAAAGTATGTAGATTTGAGGAAATGGAGATTTAGAAAACACAAAAAGTAGCTATTTGGGCTCAGTTCCTCGACATTTGCGTCATTATGATCACAAAGAAAAAGAGTCAAAAAAGACCTACAAAAAAAGAATGATCTAATAATTTTTTCCTTCAGAGCCTGATATTCTACAAAGCCTTGTCTGCTTCTGTTGTTCTGTTATTTCCGTTTTTTTTTATTCTTCTAGTGCTTTCTCTAAGGGTTTTGGATTGCAGGCAGTTATCTTCTAAAGTCTTTGTTTAATTTCGCAGCATCTGAGAGCAAAATTAATGAGTTATTAAAATTATATTTCATAAAACTGTCGAAAAATTGCGACTAACATTTATCGTAATAGACGAAGAGATTCCTAGCATTTGTTTGAAAATATGACATTATTGCTGAACTTTGCATTCACGTAAATGAACAATGATAAAAGGAAAATTAATAAGAAAATTTTGTTGAATTGAAATACAAAAGAAACGTTTTTATAGTATATTGTTGCGTGCTTACGGGTTCGTTATGAAATGAATGCACAAGTTCGATGAAAAATGAACAAAATTTATTCAGAACAAATAAAACAAAATGCTTAAACTTCTCCAGAGAAAATCGTACAATATCTCAATATCTTACAGTAGTTATCTTTTAATTACTCAAACATTCAACAACTAATCCAAAAGCTAGAGATGTTAATTCAAAACAGCTAGTGAAAGCTAATCCGCGAATTCGCTACAGTCAACAAGAGCAGTTTTTTAAACAAACTCTTAAAACAACAACTAACTGAATTGCCAATGATTATAAATTACGGAGTGCCTATGGTTCAAAATCATGTACCTCCACATCAGAAAAATAACTAAGTAGTGAGCAGAAATAGGAAAAATGCAAAAATAGTTATCATGATGCACACTAGAAGGAGCCACATTAGCTCGAGAAAGTTTAGGGATAGCAAAAATCAAGTTTTTATTTTTTGTGAAGTTTTTTTGTTTTAAACTTTTTTCTATTTTTTAATTTTATAATTCTTTGGTATTTTTATATTTTTATAACACATAAATACAACACCAAAGCAGAAAGCGAATAGGAACGATTTTACAGATTAATAGTGTTACGAAATGTATAGGCGCGGTAAGATGGCTTCTCCGCAAAGCAGTTTTAGGGTTGCCATAAAATGGCAAGTGAAGGCCGGGTTGCCACGTTTAGCGAGATCTCGCCCATTTGGAGACATTTGGCGACAAAATTGGCGATATGCCATGGACGGATGGAGAACCTTCTGGAATGAATTCTTACCAGTTTAGACCAGAATGTTCTCGAACACCAGTCAAAAGCTATATAAACCCTGCTCGTTCGCCGAGAGTTAGTTAGTATCGAGTTGATGTCTCGTCTAGCGAGTTAGCACCGAAAGTGTCTCAGTGTATCGCGGGTTGTGCATCGTCGAGAGAGCGTGTTGAGCTCCGGCAACGACTAAACCGAAGAGTCGGGAGCTGTGCTCTGTGTGTCGTCGAGTGCATCGCGAGTTGTAGCGCGGACAGTCTCGAGAGTATGTGGAGTTCAGAGGACGACCAAGCAGAGTCGGGAGCTGTACTCTGGTGCTTTGCCATGAAGCTGTCTCCACCGTGATAGCCTGATAACCTGGAGGCTATGTCGCTGATCGTGTCAGCGTGTTTATAGTAGTTCATCGACGACTGTAAAAACGTGTTTTGGAGCTGCCTGACAATACTGGGAAATAAAGTGTGTTTCGATACTTCATCAAGTAGTATTGTCATTATTCACTCCAAATCCTCACGAACCCCGTACGAAAGTGAAGGAAGAAAATAACGTAACATCTAGTGTCAGAAGAAAAACGTAATAATAGTCTCATTGGCATATGGCACTAATCATAGTGAAGTAAAGTTTAACTGAATTGAGAGGTTTTCCTCCTGTTTATAAACTTTTTAAGTCACGCGCGAGACTGTTCTAGCAATTTCTCGAAATCCAAAAGAGTTATTTATTTATTAAATATTAAATGCACGTGCTCTTGTACTTTTAATTTTCCGGATTAGCTTTCCTTTAATATTCGTCACACGCTGCACTACACGGGTAATAAAACAATTTAATTTATAATTCTACTAATGTTAGCTATTTAAATATCAAATCCGTAACAATATGCATTTTTAAAACAAATAATATGGTCTTAACAAATCCACATCAAGCATTCTAATTCAGAATTAAAATTTATAATTTATTTGCTTTTCCATTTTATTTTACTTAAGAATTTTCTTCAAGAAGAAAAAGACACATTTTAAATTATCGACAAAAGGACGCTTCCCATAATGCTATTGCAGAGAAAAAATAATATTTACTTAGTTGAAGCCAGTTTTATTTTATCTATTAGAGTTTTGTTTATTTGATTTCATTTAATAGTCTTTTGGATTTAGTTTTAATTGTTTTAAAGAATTTTATATAATTTTACGTCTTTTATTTTAATTTCATTATTTGTGCAATTATTTCCTCTTATGAATGTGAAACGCTTGCTTGTTATTTTATTGGTCACAAGTTAAGTGATGAATACCTAGTAAACAGTTCACTTACAAACTTTTAGGCACCGTCATATATGCGAGGTAAAGGATTTTGTTAGTTTCAAAATGTACTTATATCCTATTTGTTCTTTTAAGTTAACTTTTCCCACGTTTACTAGTATGTGTTTTTATTGAAAAATAATTCTATAAATGAACATTTTGTTTACACAGAACGCAAAACATTGAGTATTGTATAATTACTAGATGTTACTTAGGGCAGTGTGCGACAAAAAATGTATATGAATGAATTGAACATAAACGTGCTTAAATAATACAGGGAGTTGGGAAGCAAATGATCTTTTAAGATATCGTTCTACCTTAGTTTATTTTAAAAGGGTATAAATTAAATGACTCTTACGAATAATAATTACTGCAATAATAATGTATTTCAGTTTCAGGAAAATAAAAATAAAGTACAAGATGATAACCAAGAAGCAGAGATAAAAGACTGCGATACTCTTTTTCCAATGGCAGAACTTCACGAGACTCCCACACCCGGCAGTTTTATGCTTGCAAATGATTCTGATATGGAGTATGAAGAAGAAGTTCACGTGAGAAATTTGTTTCTCAGCGAATCTCGAGATGATTCTGATTTTGAGAGACAGGTGAGTCCACTGAGAAGCGAAGAAGAGGATTGATTTAGGGGTGACATTTCAGTGAAAAAAATAGTGGCACCCATATTAAAAAATTATATTGCACATTTATATACTAAACATATAAAATATGTATTTTGTGTATTGTTTATTTAAATTAAAATTTTTACTTAATTTTGTAATATGAAATTCTTCAATTTCGGCTTTAAGAAACTTTTAAATATGCACAGTTTTAAGTATACGCTTTTTCTGAAATTTTTTAATTTTTCAGCATCTTTAAGCTGTCACACCGCTTAACATGGCTCTTTTCGAGTACTTGAAAATGTCTCAATTGCTTATCTATAAAACTTACTTTGTTTTCTCTTTCCTTTGTCATATAAGGCCAAAAGACTTATAAGCAGAGCTTTTTCATATACGATGAGAAAACTGCTCATATTGCGTTCATTCTAAACTAGAAATGTTATTTCTATTTAGTAAAACCATTTAGATATTCCAGAACTCAAAAGCATTTCTTCCCTTACTGAAACGAAAGGGAAGAAACAAGTAAAATAAATGATTATTTTTGTAATTACTAATTCATCATTAACAACTGTAGAAACAATCTTTTTTTAAAAGCCTGAATTTTTGAATTTGAATTTGGATACAATTTGAGCTAGCAGTGGCTAGAACCACCAGTGTTCACCTAAAACCACTGCTAAATCAAATCTAATCATCCACTTTCCATCACTAATCATCCACACATATTGAAAATTTGCTTATGACAGATTTACTTATCATGAAATGTGACAGCTGTGGTTTCAATTGATCAAAGTGTAATGATGAATTTTATTCAAAAAGTACGCGAGACTTTCGAAAGAAATTAATTAGAAGTAATTAATTCAGATAAATATATTTGCCACCATATTAGATACTATTTATTATATCTATAAATGCCAAAGTGGTGGTTTTGATACAACTGTAGCAAAATGCTTCAAGCACACATGCTTGAAAAGAAAAAAAATCTGATGTGGACACCAAATGACTTCCTTTTATGGCCTATTAAATTATACACAGTTTTTGATGTGTTTCATTTAAACTTATGTTTTCGAATTATTCTAGCTTAATTAACTGATCCCTAAAAGAAAGTTGAAAAAGAAATAAAAAATTGCAAATTTTAAAATTTAACTAGCGAGCAAGCCCGCCAGCTGAGCAGGCTAAAGCCCGCTTTCGTTCGCCGGGATTCGAAAGTTAGACCGAACTACCAGTGTTCAGCGATTTTACCGCTCAACCGCTAAAAGGCCCTTGCTCGAGAGCTGAGCGGGCTGCGCCCGCTTTGTTCACCTATTCATCTACAAGATACTGCATACACGTTACACATGCGAAAAATCACGAAAACACCCATGCAGCCAGCCCGTTCGTCGGGGTTCGAAAGTTGGACCAAATTACCAGTGTTCAGCGATTTTACCCGGGCTGCTCCCGCTTCATTGATCTATGCATCAAAAAGATACTGTACAGACGTTACACATGCAGAAAGTCACGAAAATACACATGCAGCCAGTCCGTTCGCCGGGATTCGAAAGTTGGACCGAATTACCAGTGTTCACCGATTTTAACCTGGCTGCGCCAGCTTTATTCACGTAGTCATCCGCAAGATACTGCTGAAACAATTTGCAAATTTTAAAATTTAATATCTTGGTCAATTTAACTGGTTGTACGGGAGTCAAAATTCTTATAAATTTTTTTTTTTTCATAACGACTATAAAACTTTCCCATATATAAGTACAGGAACCGAGAGACCATAATAAAAGTAAAATTTCGCTATTTTTCCAAAATAAAGTATTATTATTTTAAAATTTGACATTGCTAAGTCATGTACATTTTCGACATATAAAACATTTCTGTAGTCATAAAATAAAGCTCGGGTAAAGAGGTGGATGTATATTATATATATTATAATCAGAAAACGTTTTATATACCATCTCCAAGGAACAGAAATTCAATTAAAACCATAAATTATTAACAGGAAAGAAAAAAATTAGTCAGTATTTAAATTAGTATTTACTAGATCCCTATTGCTTTGCAAACATAAAAATCTAATGTATACACCACATGACTTCCTTATACGGAACATTTAATTATACGCAGTTTTCCTGCATTTCATTTAAACATATTGGAAACAGTTAACGAATTTTGAATTAAATCTACTTCGTCGATAGCGCATAAACCACAATAGAATAAATGCACTCTTTAAAGTTCACTACATTTATTTACCATAGCCACACTTCAGCGCTAAGTTAGCTTAATAGCGTTGCATCTCATTCATTTTATAACTCAGAGTGCACAAAAACTATATCATCTAAAGAATTACCCCAAATTTTATTCAAATATTATATTAAATCTAATACTATCGTATAAGAATACTATATTAAATCTAAAACGATGTATAAAAGAAATTAAATAAATAAAAAAGAAACAGTTCTTCCCAGACTATTCAGCGCCGCTCGCCTAATGCACATAAATTACATAATACTAATTAATTCAGTTCTCACTTCGGGGCAAGGCAAAAATGCACAAAAATTCAAAATATTTTCATTAAAAATTGAAAGATATAGAAAAGAGTAAAACACCAATTGCAGTTAAAACAATTAAAAAAACAATTTTTACAATTAAAATTACAGTTTCTACGCAAAAACAAGCTAATAACTTATACGATGATTTCAGAATTAATTAAGCATGATTTAATTCGCAATAATAAAAGAAGACTTTACTTTGTTGTTGCAAAGCTTAGTTTCTCTAGGTTGGCAACAAATCCACTATTCTGCTAAGCTTGAAATGTAAACAAATATGGCTGCCATCGTAAAAGAAAATTAAGCTTAGCCGCACTTAAAAAACTTTTAAATTGCTTATAATTCCACATGCAGATTAACTAAAGGCATAAAAATCTTAATCGGAAGATAAAAAGAACATAATTCAGTCATTTTTAAAGAAAAAAATGTACAGTTTACAAACGTATAAGAATAAAGAAACTGAGCTTACTGAGCCATGTAACAGAGTGAATATAATATATATATATATTTATATACTTTTGGTGCGGCCGATTGCAACCAAAATGGGAGGTGGACATCTACATGTTATAGCAGTCCTATATACAAAAATTCAACCTTCTGAGGCTACTCGTTTTTGAGTTATGCGAGATACATATATACGTACGTACAGACGCCACGAAAAAATCTCTTCAGAATTCATTTTAAATCAGTTTTATAATTTTTTTTTGGGGAAAAGATTCCTTTATTCTGTCTCTACGTAGAGATGTCACGCAAAAATATCGTTAAATTGCATTCGATAGCGGTCAAAATGCAAATGCATATTTTTGTCGAAATATGATACCCGAAATTTTTCGGATTAATTGTCATGTCAAGGGGAACAAACCAATCTACTATCAATTAACAAGTAAATTAAGGACAATGTTTTGTCTTTCCTCCAAGTAAGGATCAAATTATATTTCTGCTAGAATCAAATCATGTCACGAATAATACTGAATCAATAGAGAGACATTAGTCCATTTAAGCCAAAAGAACCTTCATGAACAAAATAAATCAGTAAATAATCTTTTAAATTTAAGTTGCTCATGAAGAACACAACTAAACGAGATCCTTACTTTAAAAAAGATATTCCCCGGCACTGTACATATTTCTGTCATGTCTGTATATTACGCATCTGTCTATATATTACACACACGTGTAATCAGCAGATTGATGACATTGTAGAAAAGCCGCCGATAGAGGGCCCACGTTTGTAATCGGAGAGTCTAGAGAATGTGAGCGAGGTGATTGATATTCCTGAACCGTATGTAAATATATGTAAATATTTAGTGTAGTAATAAAAGAATTTATAAAACGCTAGAGTCATCTTGCGGAATAAAAGGTAATCACAACTAACCACTAACCATCCTGATAAATCTTATAACACATGTATACACGTATATATATATATATACGTTTGGTACTGCCGATTGCAATAAAAAATTAGGGGCGCACAAGTAGATATTATAGCAGTCCGATATACAAAATTTTAACATTCTGCAATTAATCTTTTTTGAGTTATTTGAGATATACATACGCCCGTGGGTACGTACAGACGTCATGAAATGAAGACCTTTTAAGTCCATTTTAAATTCCGTTTTGGAATAATGAGTCCTTTAATCTGACCGTACGTACAGACGTCACGCATAAAAATTGGACAAATTAATTCTGGAACGGTCCAAATTGATATTTCTGTTTGAATATGATAGCCGAAATTTTTCGCAGTTACAGTACTTCCTTTAATTTCAACAAGAAAGTCAAAAAAAGGGGGGAAAATAAATATTGCTATAATGACGATGATGCACGTCTGCAGTTTTAAATCGAGAAACGAGCAAGCAAGAAAAATAAAATTAAAATCTCTATGTAAATTAAATCCTCTTTTTACAAAAAATACAATGCTTGAAACAGTATGCTTAGAAGTAAAGTACTCTTCCATTTTTTTGACAGGTAGAGACAGAGAAAAGAACCACTACTAATATTACTAGGTCAGCAAAGCTCAGATATTTTAACCTTCCAATCTCCTAAAGGGCTATGCCCTTTGTTTTACTCATAATGCTTTTTAAAATATATTAATATTTTCCCCACGAAAATTAATATTGACAGATTTAAGTAGATAATTTCTAAGTTAACGCGCTCTCAAAGTCTACTCTTAATGCTGTGGTGATGGCGATAAGGAGCGCGCCTTGCCCCCTCCGATAAGTGTGGCAACCCTAGAGGAGAAGTTTTCTTACGAGTAGCGAGAAGAGCGAAACAGGCAGGCTGTCGGGCAGTATGCGCGAAGTTCCTAAATAAAGCTTAATTTTTATTGTGCACTATGTCTTGTTAATATTATATTAATATAGTAAGAACATAATCTGTGATATGGAATTCGAGGATTGGTGGTAAAAACATAACCGGAAATTTCCATAATGGTAACCCGGACTGTGTTAAATCGTATGAACAGTTCTCAAGCACTTTCGGTTTTGACTACAAGCCATCACTCAAGATCTCCAAACCAGAAGTAATGGATTACATCGGTTTTCGTCCTCC